TGTAGTTTTGCCGTACGTTGTGATCGGAGGTGGCCTAGCACTCAATGACACAGGGTTTATACTGGTTCAGGCAACGTGCCCTACGTCCAGTTTGGGTCGGTCAGTGACTTTATTCCTGAGCCCAGGTGCTCGAAGTTTGCAGTAGGGTTACAAACGAGAAGGAGAAAGATGGGGTGTACAAGAGGTCCGATCGGCTCTGGTCAGAAGGGCCGAGAGAGATAGGAGCTACGCTATGAGCTAAGTGTTCAAGCGTGTGCTTGAGGTCCGAACCCGGCGGTTCTGTGGTTGTGAGCCAGTGAACTTGATCGATGTTGATTAACTAAAAAGACTCTCGTTCGTTGGAGGGAGCGCATCCCCTTTTATAGATAAAGGGGGTGGCTTTACAAGTGAGAGGGTGAGTTTACGTATGCTACTGAGCTTTGTTGCCCATGTCGGCGGATACAAGATAATTGTAGGCGGCCACAACACTGTTGATGTCACTGTAGAATGTCAGATGCTTGTGGGAGGTTGTGTTGCCTTCTTTAGGAATGGTAGATGTCGGCACCTGCAAATACTGTTTGATGCCTAGAGGCATGTGAGGAGTTTCACTACATTCACCTGGTACGGTAAATCCCGGTGCCCACAACACTATCGATGCCTAGAGGCATGTGGGGGGCCTTACCGTATGAGAGTTAATGGCACCCACAATACTGTAGAGAAAAATATCGGCGCCTACAATACTATTTGTGTCAGGGTAGTTGCAGAGTACTGTTCCTGCAGACGTACATGGTATGGTCCCTAGTATCATAGTTTGACTTGTGTGCCCTAGCTTGCTTTCTCCGTTCGTCCCATGGTCCTTTCTGAGCGGGCGTCCCCAGTCGGATGGCCCCAGTCGGCTCTGGTCGCGCCAATCAGAGAAGAGCGGTGAGCAGGGTTCCTGCGAACCCCGGTCGGAAACACGGGGTCGGAGTTGACAGTAGTGCTTGGGCCAGGCCTTCTGATCGGAGAGGCCGTCCGGAGGCGGCTAGAGTCCGAAGCGAGAGCTCCGGTCGGAGAGGTGGGCCGAAGCGGTCGACGAGCGGGCGCTGTTCCTCTTCGGCCAGACCTTCCGATCGGTGACTGGGCCACCCTTCCGGCCCATGAGTTACGTGCTGTCTGCTTGGGCCGAGCCTTGGTGTGGAAGCCGGTCTCCGAGGGACCCCGGGTTTATGAACCCGACAGTATCCCACAAGCCATGTTTGTCATGCTTAATACAAAAAATGGAGCACGTCTCCAGCTGTCCTATTATACATAGTAACTGACTTAATGACTTGATGTTATCTGCTTAGGTAGCCTTTGCATTTATCCTGTTGATAATCTTCTGTTATTCTCAAGTGTTTCAATCTTGCACAAGGCTTAAACTTCGGTTGAAAAGCTTCAGCCCTGCAGTAGGCATGTTGCACATCATGAATGTTTCTCACAAGTGAGAAACCACCAGAAAAGATGTTCAGGATTTCAAACTGAGCTGAGTTTGCCATTTTTTAATGAACTCCCAGTACTTCTCCATGGTCACCTACACTTCCATTTTTTTCTTATTCAGTCCAGCTCCTAGTCTTGTCTTTTGTTAGTCCAGTTGCATGTCATGTGGATCATTTAATGGGCGCCTCTTTTCAACTGAAGAATTTATGACACGATGATTCTCTTGGATCCTTCGGGACACAATGAGAGAGTCTTGTCTTTTGTTAGTCCAGTTGCTTCTTGCAAGTACGAGCAAGAAGTTCTTTTGAAATAAAAATTGGACCATGGGTTCCCTTGTCATATGAGATATCGACAGTTCACGGAAATGGGAATTTTTCTAGGGTGCATTTTTTTTTTATCATGGATCAAACTTTAGCCACAGTTGCTGTTGCAAGTAGAAGGAGCTGATGTGTCTCGATGACACAAAAGTTTCGTGGTAATCGCAAAAGGAAACAGATCAAAAAAGGAAGCCAAAAAAATAATGTCTCCTGTATAAGAAGAGAAACTGAAACCAGAAAGTGTCAGGACAAGGGACTAGTGCTATCAGCACGATGATAGTGGATCATGACTTGTTTGAGGGCAATGGATCACCAAAGTTGCACCAATCATTTGGCATTGTGCCATGCATGTTTGTTTGCCACATTGAAGTGGTCTATGTTTGTTACATGGGTTCCTGCTAGAAAAGACATGGTTTCACTACTTATTTGGCGCACCACATTTCCTCTTGTAGTCTTCTAGCAAGGCCAGTATTACACAGCTCTTGCAGTTGCAGTGTTACATATATAGGAGGTTGATGCAGAGTAACTAATTGCCGGTTGCAGTATGTATTATTGATCTCACAAAGGTAACTGCTTTGCATTCAGTAAAGATAACTTCTTTGTTAAGGGACCAAAACCTTATCTGACTGGTTCATAACTTCTTTGTTAAGGGATCAGAACCTAATCTAATTGGTGCTGAGCTGTCCAATGTGTGCATGTCTGAGCACCATGGAACTTTTTTTTTTCCTTTTATTTAGTTGAGCAACATTTGGCATGCACTAGACAAGGGTGAACACGGCTATGCGCTTGATGAGTGTTTGCTGACAAAGGGGACCTCTGATTGCCTAACGCGTCACTCGTGCCCTTTTCCTGACTTCAGCACTTCACCTTTTGTGCGTATTTTTTTTTCACTCCAAGCATTATTTGGACGATTATTTTATTTTTCACTCAATTCTAGCTTGGAACATTCAACTATGTAAACCAGAAATACTTGGCCACCGCACCCCTTTGATGCTTGTTTCTGGGAAAAAAAATTGTGTGGGGAATATCCCCACCAGGCACCCATGGCTACCTACTGTGGATTCATGTCATGTGTCCATGCATAATTATCCAATGCCCACAGGTGCTCATGGGTGGGTGAGGAGACCGCCGTACTTGCCTAATAAGCATGCTGACTTATATTGGGCCTACCTGTCAGGACCGCCCTCTCCCCTATCCTCCCCAACTAGGGAGGCTAGCGGGGGCCATGACCCGCCTAACGTCTAATTGTTTTTTTGAAGAACTCTGTTGCAGCCTACTAGAATTAAATTGTTTCCATTCTCTAATGACAGATGTCAAAACCCAAAAAGGCAGGCAGCCGCATAAATTTGAACCTCGACAAATCCTAGTGTTCATGAAGAAGCTGAATGAATTATGTAGATTCTTTATGGAAGAAGGGGAACAATAGAACGGGCTATGAGCTTATCAATTGGGTTGGTCTAGTGGCATTCAGAAACTATATTAGGAAGGGCAAAACATCCTATTATGTTGCCTAAGAACCGACTCTAGCTCGACGCGCTCCGTTCCCTGATTTCTCAGCAACATAATATAGTGAATCGCCACAGTCGATCTTTATATCTACTTTATACCTATGTGTACAATGAAAATGGCGTACCTTAATTTGCCCTGGCCCATAATTTTTTTGTTCCACCACCGACTAGTTGTAGTAATTGCATATATTTTTGTTATCTACCCGCATAAATATGTTGTTCCTGTAATACGTCTAGCAAAGCATTTAGTTTTTTAGAAAAAGAAAGCTCCCCATTTTTTTTTTCAAACTGATTAAAGCACTTAGTTTTTTTCACAAAAAGAAATTTTATTTCAGTCTCTATACGAGTTATGCACCAACCAATCTTTATTACAATTTAGCCTCTGCCTACATAAAAGCACGCTCTCAAAAAGCAACACTAACAAACGAGAGACGTAGTCTAGACAACAATTCTATTAGGCGACAACCATCCATGCTTGACGATGATATCCAAACTTGCCATCTCTAACATACGACATCGCCCACTTCAACCTTGGTATGTCAGCTTTTCTTTTCGAGTATGATACAGAAGCACATGTCTAGTACGTAGCCCTAAAAATAATTTGCAAATAAGTGTGTATTCTTTTCTTTTTCTTTTTTTTTCATCGAAGACCACGTATAGTAGTCTGCAACGCTACCAACTGAGGAGAGCTAGTAGGTTCCATGAGTAGTGACGCAAGCATTTTGCGTGCCTTTAGCTCGTTGATTCCAGCAAGGAAACGCATCACCTTTTTTTTTTTGGCCCTGCCGAACGAACTTGGAAAGCATCGATGCCAAAGAATGAATCCAAAGAAGAGTCCATGCACGCATGCAACTTATCTCGACAGGAATTCAGGTTCACTGAACCTGCCCACAATTTTTAACCACCAAAAGGCGGCACGACAGGAGGTAAACTAATAAACTAGAACAGGGCACGATTATATTCCCGTCCACTTCAAAATGGCTGTTTTCCGTTTCTAGAGCTTCCCAAAAACGCATCTTTAAGGCTTGTCTGACTTGAAATTGGCAAGTACTGTACACCCGAATAATAAAGGAGTACGTAATTGCATTATTGCTTCGTGCTGTACAAAATTCTTCATGTAGTAAGAGTCTGCATAGAGCACAAGAATATTGCCTGTTCGGCTGATATTAAAGCCGGCCGATAAGCTGGCTGAAGCTGTTTTTGTTGTGAGAGAAAAATATTGTAGATTCTAGCTAATAAGCTGGCTGATAAGTTCAAACGAATAGGCTTTTAGTAAGTGCTGTGGCTGCGGCTTTTCACTGCAGGCTTAAATTCAGCTGAAGCGCATGCATTTTTTTCTCGCGACACGGAGCTTTCACAAGAAATTTTAACAAACTGGATGTACAAAAATCTCTACAAATTAAACGAATTGAATCCCAGTAGAACCTGCTAACAAAGTAAACGCCGTGTTTCCACACTGGAGCTTGAAGCAAGCAAAGCAAGCCATGGTGTTGTGACACGGTGACATGAAACTTCACAGAAGCTGATGTTTGCATGTGACATGGTTTCCCCTATAAATAGCTTGGACCGATCGCTCTCTCATCACAAGCTTGGCATGCCACGTTGCCACGGTGGCACACACATCTGTACACCGATCGTCGAGCCCGTGTCTGTCCGTCCGTTCGTATATATATATGCGTTCGATCGAGCGCGACGGCCACCAAACCCCGCCACGTTTCCATTGCGCCGGCCGGCCACCATGCTCGCGAGGGCTCCTCCACGTCCATGCTCCACCGGCGGCGAAGTTGCCGGCTACGAGCAGAGCGCGTGGTGGCCTGGCGGCGGCGTTGGGCTTGCACAAGGAGCAGCGAGGTGCCCGGGACGACCAAGAGCCGCCGCCGGCGTCAGGATGGTCGCAGCGAGGCCGGGGCCCAGGACGACGACGGTCGTGGCAGCGGCCGCCGGCGAGAGGAGGACGGCGGCGGGGTCCGAGCCGGCGTCGGCAGAGGCAGCTAATGGGTCGTCGTCGGCCGTTGCAGGTACGGTACTGATGGCAACGTACTGATTCCATTTCCTTTTTGCAAAAGAGAGAATCTGTTTCTTGTGTTTGGTTAGGTGGTAGCAGGAAATGGAAACCCAGATTATGGAATCGTTTATTCTGCTCATTCACTGCAGCAGGAGGATTAAAAATAATTTGACCCACGTTAATAACCGGCAATTAGAAACGACAGTGCACATAAAGAAGCTCCTCTCTACTGTCATACCGTACTAATTAATCTTTCGACAGTTTCATTTATAAAGGCAATTAATACTGTTCCTGCAGGAACCATGTATGTACTTTTGCAATGCTCCGTTCCCGTCTTGGAATGTGAATAATGAAATCATGCACCTAGGTTAATTATTTTCTACCAGCGAAAACATTTGATTTTCTACAGTTTCCCCAATCCGGCAAGACCGCATGAACACAACACAGCCATACTGAAATCATGCACCTAGGTGAAGTAGGGTTTTCAGTCATCTTCAGGGATAGATACCGGATGACCCATACATGGTGAACACATGACCTATTTTAGTGTATTTGAACAGCCCTGAATCCCTGATACGTATCGCATTCGATTGCGATTCCTACGAACAAATCAGAGTAGTAACCGAAATGACTGCAATTTATTACTAGAGTCCGTGACGCTGACAGCGAGCTGAGCTGTTACTGCCACCACACAGTCCTCTGTTCACTGCAACCAGGGCTCGGACGGAGTACAGATAGACCATGACCAACACACTGCCAAATTTCAGAAAATCCTGCAGTTCTGGGGATCTGTTGCTGAATACATATATACAATACAAGCTACAAAATGTGTCCCAAGCCTTGCTTGAGTTATTCGAAATTGTAGACCAGTAATTCCATTGTTGCTTTCGTACAAAATTCATTCAGCAAGAGTCTACTTAGAGCACGAGAGTTTCTCATGCAACTCAGGAATTTCAATTTCGAATCGTACGTACAAGAATTGTTGATTCATCCCAGACTACGCTTGTGCATACGGTCCTTTTTCCCTACTACCGAATCGCTGGTGTAGACAAGTCAATTTTCAAATTGTACTAGAACTCACCATAAAGAGGACAGTACTAGCGCTGGGACGTCCACGGCTGCTGCACGCCGCGCTAGGTGGGGACCGCCCGTGCCGCTTCCTGCACCCGCAGCCGTGCAACGCTCCTTCCCTCCGCTTACCATACGCATGCACGCCGCCCCAGCAGCTGCAGCATGCGGCTGTTGCGGGTGAGTCACATTGCAACACGTATAACATCCGATCTTTTTTTGAAATATCCAGATAAAACTTTTGTAACATACGTCCGAGGAAAGATGAAACACTTAAAACATGCGTTTGGAACACTTGTGAAAACACCTAAAAACACTTAAAAAGCCAATGCAAAACATATGCAACATCCTGATAAAAACACTTGTAAACATATGTGTGAAACATACGCAATATTTAAATAAAAACACTTGTAATATACGTCTAAAAAAATAGATGAAACATTTGAAAGAGTTACTTGCAACATATGTGTATAGCCATTGCAACATACGTGTATAGCCATTGCAACATATGTAGTATCCCGATCTACTTTTACAACATCTATATGAAACACTTGCAACGTACCTCTAAAACATCTACAACAACTGAAACATACGTTTGCAACATGTGGGGGAGAGAATGAGGCCGATCAATTCCGGCCACCAGGGTGGGAGCCGGCGGCGTGCGAGCACCACCAGCACCGGACGTACTCGTGGGTGCCCCTTTGCTCGGAGACGACAAGAGGAGCCCCGGCACCTATGCCCAGCCGCCATCGGCAGGGGCAGCGGCGGCAACGCATGGGTTGGGGAAGAGGCCGGGGAGGCACTGCGCGAACTGAGGGAGGAGACGATATGGTCGGCTTGGGTGGAGGAAGGAGGCAACGGCGGTGGTGCGGGGCTGTGCTGATGCCAGTGGACACGAGAGGAAGTCTTGGAGATGGGGAGGCCGAGACGGAGCGGAGAGATCGAGTGACCGGCGAGGTAGAGTGGAAGCCGCGTCCGAACCGACGTGTCCGAGTATCTGCCTAAAGACTTCAGGCTTAATTTTCTCGCAACACAGAGATTTCACAAGAAATTTAAACAAACACTACAAAGATCACTAAGAAATGAATATCCCAACAAAACGTAAAAAAAGCTAATAATAACAAAATAGACCCCGTGTCCCCAAATTGATCGAAGATTCCAAGCAGCTTGATCCAAGATTCCAATGCAAGCGGACACGGTGACATAACAACTTGATGACAAAAGCTGACGTTTGCATGTCCATAAATAGCATAATATGGATCACTCTCTCGTCACATGCTACGTACAGTACAATACAGCAAGCTTGGCTTGACACGTTGGCACACACATTTGTACGCCCATCGATCGAGCCGTGTCCATGCTTGTCCGTCCGTATATATAGAGACGCATGTAGTTCTAGCTGGACGGCCAGAGCCACCAAATCTCGCCACGTTTCCATCAAATCCCGCCGGCCACAATGCTCGCGAGGGCTCCTCCACGGCCGTGCTCCACCGCCGCCGCCGAGCAGAGCACGACGACGTGGGGGCCTGTCGTCGGTGGCGGCGGCCTCGCCCGTGTAGAAGCGAGGAGGACGGGAAAGGGGCGTCAGGCTCGTCGTGGCGAGGCCTGGGAGGATGACGACGATGGTCGTGCTGGGGCCGGAGCCGGCGATGGCGGAGGCTGCTAATGGGTCGGCCATCGCAGGTACGGTATTGGTGGCAGCGTGCAGCTGATTCCGTTTCCTTTTGCAAGAGAATCTGTTTCTTCTTCTGTTTGGTGTTCTTAGCAGGAAATTAAATGGAAACTCAGATTATTGAATCGTTTATTCCGTTCCTTCCCTGCAGCAGGAGTTTAAAATATTTTGACTCACCTTATTAACCGCCAAAAAACGACAGTCCACACATAGAGACAATTAATACCGTTCCTGCAGAAACCATGTGGATAATCATCTGTCTGTACTTCTGCAATGCTCTGTCTTGTCGTGTGAATACTGAAACAACCGAGGTTTCATATTTTCTACAGTATCAGTGAAAACATTTTCTGGAGTTCTCCATTCCGGCAAGAAAAAGACGAAAATTAATTAATGGCCTCAAAATTGGTTGATTAATTGACTGACGCAACAACACACGACACAGCCGTGCGCTAGGTGAAACAGAGATTTTCAGTCATCTTCAGGGATAGAAAATCAAACAAACCAGAGTATCGCGTTCGATTGCGATTGCAACAAACAAACAGACAAACCAGAGTATCACACTGAATGTACGGAACGTAAACGATTGCAAATTAGTAGATTCCGTGACGTTGACAGCGATATGAGCTGTTATTATTGCCACCAGTCACCACTCACCACACCACACTGTCTGTGCTCTGTTCGCTGAACTGAAACCAGGGCCGGTACATAGTACAGACACACCAAGAGAAGCACATCTGAAAGTTTCAGAAAAATCCTCTACTTCTGCGGATCTGTTGCTGAATACATACAATACAAGCTGCAAATTGTGTCCCAAGTCTCTACACAATGATTAAGCTCTGAGTGTAATAATTATTACTATGACTGCAACGCATAAATCAGTTAGGAATCAAACGAAGGCTCTGCAAAACAGAGTTTTAGTGTCAGTGGGCAAGGGGATGAAGTGATACAAGTCGCTGTCTAGTAGTTCTATCATAGTCCTCATCATTATAGTCCTTGTATCTTGGATCTCGATCGCTTTCGGTGTCCTAAAAGAACTGCACGGTTCAGTTCAGCATCGGGGGTTCAGCCTCAGTTTGTGGAAACTGTTGATCAGTTCGTGATCACTGTAGACCTTCATTTCCTTTTTGCAAAAGAGAGAATCTGTTTCTTCTGTTTGGTGGTAGCAGGAAATGGAAACCCAGCAGATCATTCACTGCAGCAGCAGTATAAAATAATTTGACTCACCTTATTAACCGCCAATTAAAAACGACAGTCTGTTGTACCACGTACTAATCACACAATAGTTTCATATATAAAGACAGTTAATACTGTTCCTGCTGAAACCATGTGGATCATCATCATATCGGGCTGTACTTTTGCAGTGCTCTGTGATGCAACGTGAATACTGAAGCCACCGAAGTTAAATAGTTTCTACAGCATATTAGCGAAAACATTTTCTACAGTTCTCCATTCCGGCAAGAAAAGACCAAAATTAATGGCCTGAGAATTGGTTGATTGATTGACTGACACAACACACGACATGTACAGCCGTACGGTAGGTAGTAGTACATATTTGTACAGCCCTGAATCCCTGATACTACGTATCGCATTCGGTTGCGATTGCAACAAACAAATCAGAGTATCACACTGAATGTATGGGACGAAAACGATTGCAATTTATTGCCACCACTCACTCACCACACACTGTCCTCTGTTCCAAGAAAACAGGGCAGGGATGGTACAGAGTACATAGAGACACACCATGAGCAGCACAACGCATCTGAAAATTTCAGAAACATCCTCTAGTTTTGAGGACATGTTTCTGAATACGCTTTTGCAGAATGTGTCCCAAGTCTACAACATCTACGCAATGACTTGCCTCTGCATGTATTTTCTAGTATGACTGAAACGCAGAAATCAGTTTGGAATCAAGGAAGGCTCTGCAATGCAGAGTTTCAAAGTCAGTTGACAAGGGGATGAAGTGTGATGCAAGTCGCTGTCTAGGTAGTAGTTCTATCATAATCCTCGTCATTATAGTCCTTGTACCTTCGATATCAATCGCTTTCGGTGTCGTAGAAGACCGAAAGAACTGCACGGTTCAGTTCCGGCTAATTTGCCATTTCTTAGCTGTGTTTATCTCTTTCACGTATACTGTTTTTGGATAACAAAGGGGTGGTGAGCGGTTTCAGAGTAACCAGAAAAACCTGGCTTTTTGCATGGTTTTGCTCTTCCCGTGCAAACTGTGCCTTACTTATACATCATTGCTTCTCCTCTCATTGATAAAAAAGCTTCAGTTTCTGGAAACTGTTGGTCGGTTCGTGATCACTGTAGGCGTTCGTATCCAAAAGACAGCATGTTCAGAGCATTCTCCAGCCTGATTACTGAATGGACCTGACAGATTCAGTTGAGGATGCGCGTGAATTGAGGTTGATTGTGCTGTCAGTTCTGTATTAACAGTCCAATCGCCAAGGCGTAATTAACCTTGACATCAACTGGGATGATGTATACAGCCACTGGTGGGATCTTGTCAGTCCTTTGATTGATGGTACATTTACCAACGGATGAAAAAGTTGGCGACCGAATTATTGGTTGGGTGGTAGTACTGAGTTGTCAACTTGTCATATATCAAGTCCCCTTGATAAATTCCATTGGCCATATGACTCATCCATCACTACTTTATTTAGGCAAATCAAGAGCTGCCAGTTTTCTTCATGGTTGGCCCATCACAAAAAAGCACTTTTTTTTTTCTAGAATGGAGCACTGTTTTTTTTCTTGGGCGTGAAGGTCGGAGAACTGATTTTTACTGAACTTGTTTTTTTACTAGCTTTGTTTAGTACCCTACTTTTGATGGAAATGTTAGTGAAGGTTAGGAATCAGCATGGTTGCAAAACTTTACTAGGGACAATAAACCTGATCATTTAAGATGAGTATGTTAAACTTGACATAATTGACTTGCTTATCCTGAAAGCACTAGTCGTAATTATATATCAATATTTTCTTCATACTATGTTCAACATTCTGATTTCAAAAAAGATGTTCAACATTCTGAGAGATTCATGGGTTTGTAGGGATCAGCACGCTCTTGACTTCGAATGTTGGGAAATCGACAAATATCCTGTGGCATGACTGCCCCATTGGACAGAACGAGAGACAGAATTTGCTGAATCAGAAGGGTTGTGTCGTGTGGATCACTGGTCTAAGCGGTTCAGGTCTGCATCAGCTGATCATATCCTATCTACATGTTTACAAACAGAATTTGCTGAGCCTTCGAAATTTAAGAATATCCTTACATTTATCACAGGAAAAAGCACGCTCGCATGTGCGTTGAGCCGTGAGTTGCACATTAGAGGCCATCTGACATACGTCCTCGACGGCGATAATCTCCGGCATGGGTTGAACCGGGACCTCAGCTTCAAAGCAGAGGATCGTGCTGAAAACATATGCAGAGTAGGTACGTTCTGTCCTGAAATGTCTCTGCACTTGATCACCAGTTTCCTCGCAACTGAGCTTTACTACTGATTACTGTTTGTATGGTTCTTTTCAGGGGAAGTAGCAAAGCTATTCGCAGATGCTGGCCTGATCTGCATTGCTAGCTTGATATCACCTTACAGAAGTGATCGAAGCGCTTGTCGCAGTTTACTGCCAAAGTCTTCGTTTATAGAGGTATGCATGATCCACTTCCGGTGTTCCATGTCGGCAAGTCAAGTTGGAGATTTCTGCCTTCTTCCATATGGTACCTATTCTAGTTTCAGATTTTCAGTAAGAGAGATATATACAGCTCAGAGAAGTGCATTTCGTTCGGTAGGTGTTCCTAAATGCGCCGCTTGAAGTATGCGAAGCAAGGGATCCCAAAGGCCTGTACAAGCTTGCACGTGCTGGAAAAATCAAAGGTAATAAAGGAACCAACTGACTGTCGTTGTCTGGTTACTTGCAAAGCTTACCAATAACCAAGGGAAATCACCTACAGGTTTTACTGGCATTGATGATCCTTATGAACCACCATCTGATTGTGAGGTTAGCAGAAATCATCTACTACCAGAATTTATTCAGTGCCTCTGTACATTAAAAAGATGTTATGTTAGTACTGTTAGCTACACGGAAGAATTAATTAAAGTTTCCCAGTTCATGGACAATATAATGACTTTTCAGTCCTCTTGTCTAATGAAAGATGAACAACTCGATCTTTGCAGATAGTGATCCAGTGTAAAGTTGGGGACTGCCCTTCACCTAAATCAATGGCTGATCAAGTTGTGTCATATCTTGAAACGAATGGTTTCCTCCATGACTAGACATGGATGTATATGCAACGCAACACATTTGTATATAGCAGCAATTGGGGTGGCACTGCCAAGGTTACCTATCTGAGTACCCGATGAATGCTAATAATTTATCTGGTTTCTTAAGTCAGATCGATTGGGGTGGCACTGCCAAGGTTATCAAGACTTGTTCATACTGTCCTCGCAAAAAAGGAACTTGTTTATACTGGTCTTAGATTGCACACATGTACAGGGTGACGTGTTCCTGACTTGCTGCTTGTGACGCAATGCAAAGTGTGGACTGTGGAGGATGATTTGTTTGAGACACTGCTGGCAGTGTAAGATGATGGTTGCGTCGTTGCTCTTTAACACGAAACAAGAAATGGCTGTGTCAAAGAAAGAGTGCAGCCTGACAGAGTTGCTTAACCGTCCATGCTTGACAAAATTTATTGTAGGTGTTCAATCATATGGGACCAATATTTTCTTTGGTTTTTAAGTTTCCATGATCTCCATAAAAATACTTTCACCAAACAAGCTATATGTAACTTTACTGACGTATGAACCTTCCGAAAGGCTGATTTCAAAAAATTCATATGTAACAATGACGGATCATGACCTATGTTATATTTATTATTAGATGTTGCAAGAGTAAAAAGTATTTCCATGTAGCTCCCAATAACGTTCACCTTATATTATATCATTATGCCTAGCTACATTCTTTAAGAAAGGAAAAACATCATACCTACTTTCTATTAAGTGCATTGTACTTTATATTTAGCTTATTTTCTTCTATATATACTACTGGCAACCTTCATATATACACCAGCATGGGGTGGGTGGGTGGAGAGAGAGAGAGAGAGAGAGAGAGAGGGCTCAAAACTATCAGGTATCTAACTAAAAGGAAGAAGTGCTAAACCTGTGAGAACCCCATACGCCTTGGGAATGAGTGACATACAGGAAAACCCATAAGCCTCACTATTTCAGTTACTGTCTCCAATAAGTAGTCATATGCTGTATCTGGTTTAGGGACCGAGTGGAGTGATATGTGTTAGCACATCATAGCAATTTCTCTCAGGCACTAACTCCACCGGCTCCAGTTTCGGTACCATCTCCGGCGGGCGGCGGCACCCCAGTCGGTTTTGCTTCTCGTGGTTGCTGCTCCACTCCTTCCGGACGCCCCTCCTCCAATGGTGGCTGTGGCTCTGGCTCATGCAATGGTACTCGCAACCTCCGTGGACTCGTCCCTTCCAGTTGTGGACCGGCCCAGGTCAACGCAGCAAACTGGACCGCAGCCTCCCCAGGTCCACGTTACGCAGGCTAGTATGCCCCGTGACACATATCCCTCTGCCTGCTTTCAGTTAGCCACAAAGTGTCATAAATAAATGGTGGGCACGCTTTTGTTTGATATAATATATTTGTTACATCTAAGTCACTAAAAGGAGTTAAATGAATTTCGGTCCACGAACCAGCACAAGCAATATCTTGTTTATTGTAGGCGTGTCTGATTTAAGACCGAGAGGGTGTATTAAAATGTCGGGATATTGGCATGAAATTTGAGATGCTTAGGCCAATCTCAATGGGGTTTCATCAGAGTTTCATGGACATTAAATATGCTGATGTGGCACAGTATTGATGAAGAGAGAGATGATAAAAGTTTTATGAGAGTAGAGATAGTTTCATGGGGATGAAACTCTTCTACACTGTTTCCAAAATATGAATATGTTGGAAACTGTGATATGAAATCCACACTGAGACTAGCCTTAAGCGAAGCCATGCTAAGAGTAATGTCTCGGTACTAAGGGCTATTCTTGTAATAATGGGCCGCCGTACTGTCCGCCTCGCCCTATAAGTAGAGCCCTTAGGGGGGCCGTGTACTGGTGACGCAAGTGTTGATATATGAAAGCTTCAATGAGATATGAGAAATAGAGACGACACTAGGAAAAAAGAGATTAGGATTGGGTGACACTAGGAGAAATGCACCGAAAGCTTCAATGAGATTAAGGAGTCTAGTATTTAATTTGAGTTCGGAGAGGATAAGATTTCTTCCCCACATACAAACCTCTCATAGACACGAGCCCCGAACCTGCCTTCCATGGGTGGAATCAGCAGCCTCTAGCCTCCAGCATTCCCCTTCAACTTGCCTTCCATGATTTGGACACCACAAAAATAGCCATGTTCAAAAAATTTGGAATATGACTCAAATGTTTTGAATGGTCTATGAAATTCACGCTTTGATGAAATTTTTGCTCAATTTTGATCAAATTTTGACCCAAAGTCAAGAAGCAACAAATGAACTAGAGTTGTCCCAAGTTTAACCAAACTTTTTCTCAACTTTGACCAAAATTTGACCAATGAATCATGGGAAGTTGGAGGTGAAGAACAGGAGTGGTTGAATCCAGAGGTAGGATTGGATTCATGAGTAAGGGCCTATTTGTGGGAGCTCCAGTATCTCCAGATCTGCAAAAAAAAAAAAAAAAAACTCCACTCCAACTTTTCAATCCAAACACTTCTAGGTCCATGCAGATCCAATATAGAACAACTCTATGAAATCCATGGTGACGACAGTCTGACATATGGGTATATTAAGTTCCTAGGAAAGAGGAAGCCTACCGACAGACCCCCTGACGGATCCCATGGATCGCTTGGGGGCTATACCCATCGGGTAAGGTCGCACGCACCCTCTGGAAGGAGTCAGGGCGAGCCCGAGCGCCCCCACAGCACCACTCAAGGATCGGGGGCTTGGCCACGGCCCTGGGCTACCTAGCGTCGGTGGGCCGAGCCTGACCTCCAGCTAGCGCCCACCCAGGCCAGCGTCGGGCGGCAACCAGCGTCCCGAATCACTAGCTAGGATTCGGCTCAGGAGCCCGTCACGCTACCGAAGCCTGATAGGTACGGAGTGCTGCACCATCTACCTGTTCAACGGATGCGAGGCCATGTCGGCCACTCTCTCGGCAGGGTCACGCAACGGGTGTAACACAACAAGCAAGGTACACCCCCAGCTTCAAGGGCTCCGGTCTTAACAAACCACCTGCGAGGTGCTTGTCCACACGCTCGGGCTTGAGGCCCCACGAACGACGCAGGAGCTGCTAGATGTCATCACCAAGTATGCCATGGGAGAAGAGGCTATGTTGGCCAACTTCAGTGGTGAACGCAAGGCTAGCACCCACCATGGTGATGGGGACGGCAACGACGATGCCAGTGATGTCGGCTGCCACCGCGATAAGAAGAAGGACAAGAAGCACCGTGGGGAGGAGGTGCTGTGGCCGTGACCGACTACGCAACTCGACCCTCGCCCAAGGGGAGGTGCCAGCGCCCTGAGCATTTAAAGAAGGCACTCGAGGGCCCTACTCGTTCCACGGCGGGTAGGCCAGGCACCACCTCAAGGACTACGGGACGATGAGGAGCTACATCTGAGGAACCCTTGACCTAAAGGGCAAGGCCCATAAGCCTACTCAGAAGGTCAGCAGGGACAAGAGGAGGACATTGAGTTCCCCGAGGCCAAGAAATGCCCGACTGTAAGGAAAATGGACCCTTGGTCCATTTAGTTTGGATTTTGGTGTTTGATGATCAACAAGGCCAAATTGGACTAATGTGTTTGCATGTGTTTGTTTTGTAGTCCAATAGGATGCAAAGGTGACTTGGATGAAGGAGATGTGGTGATCTGGATGATCAACACGTCAAGCAAGATCTTAGAAGCATCATGGGAGACCTACAAGATCAAGCAAAGTCTAAGGCATGAAGATGGAACCAAGTCAGACACAAGGACCGCAAAGAAACAAGTTGAAAATGAGTTTTAGAGGGCATTGAATGCAGGCATTGAATGCATCCAATGGGTAACCCTAGTAGCGAAGGCGTCAGTCCGAGCATCAGACGCTGAGGGGATAGGGCATCGTTCATGACGGTCACACTGTTCATCGTCAACAAAGAAGTCCAGCATGCATCGGACGTAATGGCTGGAGCATCGGACGCAACGATGTCAGTGTTCGATGAACTCTAGAGGGGTTCCAAAGAGGCGCTGAAGGCACTGGACACGTCCAATGGCCTGCATCGGACTCATGTGCAGCATCTGATGTGAAGAGAGCGCCAACGGTCAGCTAACGGTCACTTCTGACAATACGACCGTTGAGAGACATTGGACGCAAGAAGCGTCCGATGCTAGCAGAAAGATGGACGTGGCTTCAATGGCTAGTTCTCCACTTTGGGGCTATAAATACCAACCTAACCGGCCATTTGAGGATAGGAGAAGCTCAGGGAAGATAGTAGAGTGTTGATACACCACATTGGAGGTCTCCACATGCATAGGGCTTAATAGATCACTTGGTGATTAGCGTAGGTGCTTTGCGAAGTGATTATATTGATTAGACCACACTCATATGCGCTTGCTCTAGGCTTAGGCTTAGTTGCTAGTGAGGTTTGCATACCTCTTGCCACTCGGTGCTTGCGCGCACCATTGTTGTACTTGGTGGGGCTTGTAAGTCTTGCGAGACCAAAGCAACCGCATTTGTGGTGTGGCCGCCACCGTGTACCGGTGGGAACAAGGCCCGCGGTGTTTCGGCCAGAAGCATGATAGCGAAGATCGCGGGGAGCGGTCCGGGAGAGGCTTTGCCATGAGTGGCTTAACCAGAGACCCACTTGCGCGTGGGAAAGGCCCGAAGCTATCCATGCAGTTACCCGACCGGGAGCTTGGCCCTCGCGAGGGCTGTCTTGCAAGGGGCTCCAACGAGGACTAGGGGAAGTTTACGTGCTTCTCGATACCTCAGTAAAAATACCGGAGTCATCGACGGAAGTTTGCATATCTCTATCTTATCTTTAGCTTCCTTATTTATATTGCTACCTTGGTTGTGTGCTTTACCTTTCCTAACGTAGTTGATAGGCTAGTTGATAGGTTTGGAACCTAGGTCGCATAATGTTGACGGTCGTTAACATCGATCATAAACCGTCAATATAACCTGCGTGTATACTTAATTCCTTCACCAAACATAGGTCTAGGGGGTTTAAACTAATTAATTCCATAAGTTTTGATGAATCTATGT